AGAGACAGAGACAGAGAGAGATGTTATGATTATATATCTAAAGCTGAAGATATGCAAGACAGCCATTGCAAACACTTTTTGAAAAAGGGTTGATTGGAGCATTTGTTCTTCACTATTTTTTCCTACTAGTACAGTCTCTCCTTGTCCAAATCATATTCTCATGCATAATTTGTTCTGATTAGTTGATTATAAAGATCAAGTTTTTCATTTCAGGAAGTTATATCTTTCCAAACCCACTTTGATCATGATTTGGCAGCCTAGCAAAGATAACAACAATAATGTTGCTTCCTGAAACACTTTGGCTAAACAAATCTGAGTTTATTAGGCCCAAGAAAGAATAGCTTTAAAATCTTTTCCACTAATAGGAAAAAATGGATAGCTTTGTAAGGTCTCAGTCCCTTACTTAAACTTGAGATACCATATCAGTCTAATCAGATAACCCAAGTGGAGACTTCTTGATCAAGTAGCACTTTATTTGATCAGATTAAGCAGCTGGGTGGCCAACAATCTGGAATGCTGGCAGAGTTATGTCCAGAAGTGCCACACCTTAGAAAGTTGGTAGCATTGTTTTATAAACTATGTTAGCCAATGAAAATCAGACAACAGAGCCATTACATCATAAAGAAGACATCAATCATTCCTGTACACTCCCTTATTCCCTCCTTCAGTATATCCCATCCATGTACATGTTTCCCAAGCTTGCATGAGATTTCCCTGGTGCAAAAGCTGATTACAAAAAGCAAGAAAGCAACAGTTAGACTAAATTTTTTTCCTTTGTTCCAGAACCCTTCAGATTAACACAGCTTTCCATTGAACTGTCTTCCTCTTACAGACTCTGGTTAGTTGAAATGTAGAGCCATGGTGGTGCAATAAGAGCTGTGGTGGAGCAGTGGTTAGAATGCAGTATTGCAGGCCTATTCTGCTGACTGCCAGCAGTTTGATCCTGACGGGGCTCGAGGTTGACTCAGCCTTCCATCCTTCTGAGGTCGTTAAAATGAGGACCCAGATCATTGGGGGCAATACACTGACTCTGTAAATCACTTAGAGTGAGCTGTAAAGCACTGTGAAGTGGTATATAAATCTAAGGACTATTGCTATTGCTTTTGCTATTGTTTATTTCTGCCCAATTGTTAACTTATCAGACCATGCTGCAGTAATAAAGACACAGGAGCCATATATGAAAAAAATATTCAGATTTCCTCTAACTATTACAGAATTACCAACTGCATCCAGCAGATCAGGGCTCACTCAATACTTGTTTCACTTGTGGCCATAATGTGGCCAGTAATACTCTTTATTTTCCATTCTGGCAAGCAGGCCAGTGGATGGAGGGAGGATGGATGGATGGTTTGATGGATGGATGCACAAATGGACATACATACAGACACAGACATTGGAATATTATTTTAAAGGTAACTACATTATCCAGTGGAAGTACACTTCAGCTGTTAATGATTGTGGTTGAACTTAAAGGTTTGATTCCATATGACTCGAAAGGACCTTTTTTCTTTTTTTATAAAAAAATCAGCTTCCTCTAGGGAAAACGTTGGTGCTATTACCTAGCTTCTGGTTTGTGAAATGACCACCAACAATAAAAATTCTGCATTTTGCATTGTTTGAAATCTCACAAATTGTGCGTAAGCAATGTTTGTGTATGTATATATGTGTTTGCTGTGTTAATATATATTCATAATTCCATTAACGCTTTATGCATCTCATGCAATTGGTAACTGTTTGTGGATAGACTTAGGGCAAAAACCAAAGGTTTATCTTCTAGAGAAAATGGGATGGTGTAAATAGGTTTTAAAAATAGGAAAGGAAACCAAACACGAATGGGTTCATAGGGAATGGATCTATTTAGTATTGCTCTTAGGCTCTGATATTCTCCCATCAGAATAATGACTTGTCCCCATTCTCTAGGCTTTCAAAAAAGGAACCAGGAATCAATTTATTGAGCTTGACCTTTTAAATTGCCTTAGATTATTCTCACATTTTTAAAGGCCTTTATTATTGTTTTCTAGGGCTTTGCCCAGCTTACTATTCACAGCTTTGGAGAAAAGACAGCATATAATCATTATTAATAAATAAAACTAATAAAGAATTAAAGAGAAAAATGTCCAGTGAGAATGAAAACTAGAATTCTAGCTACAGCGGTGTAGTCAGATTGTGAATGTTCTTTTAACAGCTCAGCAATTAAATGTGAAGCAAGCTGACATTTTTCTCAAACAAATTAATATGGGGCCAA